CTTATTTGGCCACTTCCCCCTCCAGAGGCTAACTACCAAGATCCAGCTATCCAGGGATTGGAGAGGTGCAGAGAGGGAAGACTGATGAGCAAAGGGGTCACTGCCATGTAGGGGAAACCCACAGAAACAGCTACCTGAGCATGTGGGAGCTCACAGACTCCAGACTGACAGCTGGGGAACCAGCATAGGACCAAACAAGGCCCCCTGAATGTGTGTGACAGTCCTGTGGCTTGGGCAGTTTATAGGGTCACTGGCAGTTGGACCAGGATTTATTCCTAGTGCATGAACTGACTTTTTGGAGCCCATTCCCTGTGGAGAGATACCTTACTCAGCCTAGATGGGGGGGGGGGGGGGAGGGAGTGGGAGAATGGGAGGGAAAGGGAACAGGAACTGAGATTGCTATGTAACATAAGATTGTTTTTAATTTAAATAAAAATGGAGAGTTTAAAAAAAATCGAGCAATCAAATGCCCCCTTTGGTTCACTTAATTAACATATCCAATCAAAACAAAATACACCACCCATTCTGACACAGACCCGCCTTCTTCTCTTATTAAAAATTACACCTGCGAGGTCATTTGCTGCTGCTGTTTTCTGCCTAAGTCAGAAAGCAGCCACTTTGACTTTCTTCCCCCGCATAATAAAGAATCTTTCTGTGAAAACTGGTGTGTGGGTGTGATTTGTGCCTAATTCATGGTCCGAGAGAGCGTCCCCACTCTTTTTCAAGATCAATCCCTATGCAAAATAATAAGCATTTGTAAATGTAACCAAAAGATGCACTAAACTCATGAATCAAAGTGAGGAAGTCACAAAACACTAATGAAAGAGTGCAAAGGACGACTTCTTATCACGGACAGGGCGGAGTTAAGTTTAGACGTCGGCGTTCTTATCTAAACACACTCGCAGAGAGAACAGAAACTAGAGGTCTCATTAACCTGGAAAAGGGAGCTGGAAAGCACGACGTGGCGATGCTGTACGGTGTCACTGGTGTTACCCGGGTCGCGATGCTCTCAGACCGGACCATGGTGTCGCTCTAACGTGGGGACACCCTACTCTCCTGCAGTCTCTCCTAGCGCCAGCTCCTGCCCTCCAGAGAGGGAACCCACTCCAGGCGGCCTCAGAGCCACCCCAGAGTCCAGAGGGGCAGGAGGTGCTGCGCACGTGCACCCCACAGCTTGCCCCTCGGATTCCTAGATGCCCCCCCACCCCGCTGCCTCCCCATCACGCGTCTGTTTGAGGGTATCCACACTTGGGAAATACATCACTAGGAGTTGTGTATTGTTTTCAGATCGCCGGGGAAACGCTGTATTACAGTCATATTTAAGTGCTCTAAGGTGGACTTTTTAAAAAGCAGATAAATACACACTGAGGTGAAAACAGACTTTAACTTCGCTCATTTGCTTCATCTGCTCTGTGCCCTGCATACGGCTATGGATGGAATTGTTTCAGATTCTTGCATTCCTATCTCCAGGTTTTTTCTCTGTTGATATTAACATCGCTACAGTTTTTGTTAAGTTCATTTTTTAAGTTTACCTTAGATCTATTTGAGTGTCGGATGCATGCTGGGTTCAAGGGACTACATAAACGTGTTTTAACTGCAGGACACACCTAATGAGAAACTGAAGGAAAGCAGGTCACTGGGCCTGTTATGTCAGACCTGTCATGAACCTCTCTGCCGGTGAAACAGAGAGCCCCATCCGGAAGTGGCTTCCCAAACACAAATATATATGGGAATCCCTCCTAAAAATGGCTCAGTAAGGTTTTTTTTTTTTTTCATCACTTAGGACTCATCCACGAAGTGAAACCTTACAACAACCTACATCTTTTGACTACAAATGAAACCTGAGCCTGAGCCAAATTACAACTGAAATGGCCTGGAGGCCCCATCCAGATGGCTCAGTGGGTAAAGGCACTTGCTGCTAAGTTTGATCTGAGTGTGAGCCCCAGGGCTCACATGCTGGGAGAGAACAGCACACACACACACACACACACACACACACACACACACACACACACTAAACGGTCAATTGAGCCTAACCCTGGGTTCTGAGTTAAATAATCTGGACGTAGACAATGCTCATGGAGGTTCTGGAGCCAGCAGTCACATCGACAGGTGAAGGTTGTGCTCTGCCTCTGAATAGGGCCCAAGGTTTAGGTCATGGATAACATCACCTGCTTTGTGATTATTTTGGAACACTTTGGAAATGCCAATTCTTGAAGCGTCACACTGAGATAGTGGTCTAAGAACAAAATGTGTTTCCCGGTCTCAGATCGGCACAGGCCACGTCGGCGTGTCTTCCTCCAGTGCGCTGCATTGCCAAGGCCACATGCCATCCTTTCTGCCAAGCGATCCTCACCTCCCTCTGTATTTGGCTTTCCACCCCCATCTTGGATCCAGAATCACTTAGTACTACCACAGGGCACCCTCCCCTAACTGGGAATTTACTGAAGAAGAATTGGCGTTGGGCCTTCTTAGTTCCACAGCTGTTCTCAGCCACCACCTCCAATAATTTTAATTTAGTATCTTTTTTCAAAACAGGATTTCTTTGTGTAGCCCTGGCTGTCCTGGAACTAGCTCTGTAGACCAGGCTGCCCTAGGACTCACAGAGATCTGCTGTCCTCTCAACTCCTAGGACTGGGATTAACGGCATGTTAGTTTTAGATTAATTAATTAATTAATTAATTAATTTAATGTGTTTTGCCTGTGTTATGTTTGTGCCCCTATGTGCATGCAGTTCCTGAAGAGACCAGAAGGGGGCATCATATCCCATGGGCAGTTGTGAGATGCCACGTAGGTGCTGGGAACCAAACCCAGTTCTCTGCAAGAGCAGCCAGTGCTCTTAACTACTGACCCATCTTACTCCAGCACACACACACTCACTTATTTTAAATGGCGGGAGTTGGGGCTTGTCAGACAATGTGGTTTTCCCATTCCAAACAGCCTCTCGTAAGTGCCCGAGGCTAAACCACAGGCTGGGAATCTCATCTTTCTCATTATTATCACTGGATACGCTTTTCAGCCACTTTAGCTATTTGCTTCTTATCCTTCTCTACCAGGACTCAGCCTCTGTGAGGTTTGGTGCTGCAAGGTAGAGCCTTCCTCGTTCTATGCCACTCTACTCTTACCCTGTAGGAGGGCTGCTGGGGGGCAGGTGTGCATGTGTGTGCACTGTGTGCATGTGTGTGTGCGCCAGTGTGCATGTGAGTGTGTGTGTTGTGCGCGCGTGCGTGTGCACGTGTGCTTATGTGTGTGTGCACGTGCATGCGTGTGTGCACCTATGTGCATGCGAGTGTGTGCGTGTGTGCATGTGTGTGCACGTGTGTGCGTGTGAGTGTGCACCTGTGTGCATGTGCGTGTGTGTGCCTATGTGTGCGTGCAGCTGGAAACAGATCTGGAAGCTGGGAGCCAGGCCTTCATTTCAAAGCACTGCATGAAAAATGTATTTGGTAGAGTTGCAGATGCTGGCTATCAAACCTGAGCCAATAAATTTAGAGTCCTTGAAGGTCCTGCTGGAGCAACAGTGAACTTCTCTGGAGAGATATTGTGAAATAAATGAAAAGCTTCCTTCTCTAGCCTGATAGAAATGGAGGAGGGTCAGGTTTTTCCTCTTCTGGTTCACTTATGCCAAGTACCTTGCTGGACTGCTTCGAAGTCCTCAAGCAAATGCCAACAGGAAGCACACAGTTAGTAGGGCGGAGACCACCCCCTCCCCCCAAGAGAGGGACAGGAGCTCATCGACTGCTACCAGCTGTAGCCAAGGCAAAGAACCACTGTTTTCAGGTCTGAGGTCTTTCTTCTATGCAGGGACCTGAAATCAGGCTCATGAGCTTGTTAGGAGAGCTTTCTGGGCTACAGCTCCAGTCTCCAACTCTCACGTCTAAGAGAAGCTGTAATTCCAGTATGCAAAGGTGGGATTGTGAAATTTGTTTTGAAATGTTGGCATGTGCGCTTAAAAAGCAGACCAGACAAAGTTTATACTCCATCCCTGCTCCAGACTCAGGGCCCCGTTTAGGATGCAGTGTGAGAAAAGATAAATGCTATGCGTTGAGGGCTTCTCTTTCTCTTTTATTCTTTGGGAAATTAATGCTCTATTTATAATCTATCTTCAGAAAGACACACTACTTAAACTTTCTATGGCCAATATTAGTGTAATAGTTCTTTCACTTACATATTCCAGTGGTTAATTAAGTGCTAGCAGGGTGTGGTGGCTCATGCCAATCCAAGCATTTGGGAGGCAGAAGCAGAAGGATTGCCATGAGTCTGAGGCTAGTCTGAGATGCATATGCGTTCTAGGCCAGCCAGGGCTGCCTAGTGAGACTTTGCAGTCTAGCGGTAGAGGAGGGAATCTTAAATGCAGTAGTGAATGCTGCTGGAGTAGGTTCCTTTCAGTCCAAATGCAGCTATGATCTCCACATATTCACTGACAACACAGAAGTTAAATTCTCTTCAGTACACCTATGGCTCAGTCTTCTTAATCATGCTCCCCTTTCCAAGGGCTAGACTGAAGTTTGGTACCCACACAGCTGACTGCTCAAGAAACACAAGCTTGCCTGCCAATGCAGTTTTTTGTTTTTATTTTTTTTCCTCTAGGGGAAAAATATATACATAAACACACAGAGACAAAAAATATTCACACATGTGCATGTAGATACACACACACACACACACACACACACACACACACTTCTGTTCAGAGAGTCTAGATGTTTGAGGCATTTAGATGGAGAACAGTGGCTGTGCCCCAGCTTCTAGCTGGGAAAAGCTAGCATTCTGTCATAGAAAGTTGCAACTGCATGGAAAGGCTCATCTCCAATAGCCGATTAATTTTTGCGGGGAAATAATTCCTCCCCAAATCCCTGACCTTGAACCTGTGCTGTTCTCCAGATGATCAGAGAGCAATGGAAAAGTCTCACCGGAAGACAGAGACTCCTTCCAGCACCAACTTAGGAGGCATCAACCCCTCCCCCTGGAGTTCCACGTCACCGGTGCCCCCAACTCACCTTCCGAAGTTCGAAAAGCCACACACACAGCCACAGCCACGAGGGTAAGGCCTGCTTGCTGCATTCTTGCCTGGCCCACTGAGTCTGGTAATAACTCAGGTGAGACTGTGGGATCAGGAAGTGAATGGAAAGGTGTCCTTGGGTGCCGAGAAACAGCCTAAGTTGGCCAAGTAGCCCCGCCCTGGGAGGTTCTCACGTTTCTTTCTTAACACCTGGTTCCAGCCTGTCAGTAAGTTCATAAATTCGCAGCCGGATGTGTTCACATTGCTGGGGACTGGGGGAACATCTGTGGCCTCGTGGCAGCTGAAGAGGTCCTTACGAGTTGACAGTATTCATCAGAATCATCTGGAAGCCGTTGAAAATATAGCAGTGTACATGAATGTACCTGCCAGCCTCCATCTCCACACCAGAGTTCTAGGGTAGCAACATCATTTGAATTTCATACAAACTTCATGGGTGATTCTGATGGACACTTCTGTTGAGAATCGTTGCTTAAAATAAATTATTATTAATATTTTTTTGGCTGGGCGGTGGTGGCGCATGCCTTTAATCCCAGCACTCGGGAGGTAGAGGCAGGCAGATCTCTGAGTTTGAGGCTAGCCTGGTCCAAAGAGCAAATTTCATGACAGGCTCCAAAAATACTGAGAAACCTTGTCTTGAAAAAACAACCCCCCCAAAAAAAAACCCAAAAATTAAATTAAAAAAATAAATTGTTGTTGTTGTTGTTGTTATTATTATTATTATTATTTCTTTTGGGGTTTGAAACATGGAATGATAAGTCATAAAAAATGATCTGCATAGAAAAAGAGGAGAAAATTCACTTAGGCTCGGCCTGCAGTCAGATTTGGGTTTATTTTTGAGAGAGGTCAGACAGGCCTCCAGAAGTGACTCAGGGCAGGGTCAGAAGACCCCTGTCCGAGGTCAACCTTGCTGCAATCAGCTTCCCGAGTGAATCCACAAGGCACTGAACATGGCTGGATTCTAAAACTGCCTCTCCTGCTGAGCAACCTCAGGCACTGTAGCTAACTTCTCTGTAAACCACGATGCCTTCCAGTGCCATGCCTTGCTCCCTCTAAGTCATGCAGGGGCCGTGTTGGGGGCTCTGGAATACCTGCAGTGTAGCTACTGCTAATACACCAAATTCCAAAGAGTGACAAAATAGCTTTAAAATGTCATCAGATGTCATGGCTTACTCAAAATGTATTGTTAAAATATTTTCATTCATCCCTTGGGTTAGTTTTCTGTTCCGAGACAGTGTTCTGTAGGCCAGGCCCTGGAATGTGTGGTCCCCCAGCCTCGGCCTCCTAAGTGCCGGGATTACAGGTAAACCACCACACCTGACCTCTTTTTGATTTTCTAGATTACCTCAATGGTGTCTCCCTATAACCCCCTCCCAAATTCATGTTGAAACCGAATCTCCAAACATCACTGACGAGAGATGAAGACTGATTGATGGCTGGTGCTGAGGTCATGAAGTTAGAGCGCTTCCTAAGTGGGAAAATGTCCCAACAAAGTGGGCCCTCGGAAGTGGGCTGTCTCTCCTATTTCTCTGCTATCTGAAAGATGCAGAAATGGGCCCTGTCTTGGAGCCAGAGACTTAGCTTGTCAACCGACTTATTTGAGACTCCCGGTCTCTATAACTATGACAGAGTTAATTTCTACTCCTTAAAATGACGCAGTCTTAGCTACTCTGTCCTAGCAGTGAAACGGACAGATTAACGCAGTTACATAATTCCTGCCTGGAACAGTTCCAGGCACACGAGTAGATCACGCATCTGTGATGAGCATTGCTGCTATAGAGGATTCAGAGCTCTGAATCCAAATCATCCCCAGTTGCCAACCTATGGTTCTGCCTCCAAGAGTTAGATTTATGGTAAAATAGACAGCAAGGGCTTCAGAGATCAGCAGGCTAACAAAACTGTGACCGCCTGGATGAGAAGCTGCGAAGCATCTGTTCTGGCCTTTGTTGATAGGCAAGGGCCTTGCTTACACATTTTAGTTAACGAGGGGACAACCCGCAGTGCTGACTGTCAGAATTCTGTGATGCTGTATGCACCTGCAGCGATCTCTCTGGACCAAAGCCTGTGCTCTGAAGGCAGGGGTCAAGGATCTGCTCAGAACCTATTGTGTGAGGATTTGCCATCCTGTGTTAGAAAGGACTCGGCTCAGATGAAGAGAAGGGGACTCCTGGGTGACACAGTGGTTTTTAATTGAGCGGGATAGAAGTTATTCAGATCTCATAGAGTCCTGATGAGAAACTGGTGAGCTGGGGTTACAGGCCCTGCGTATGGAGCCGTGGGCTCCTCGTTTGTTTCTGTCATTGTGCATGCAGCTTCTGCTAGAAGAAAAGCCACAGTGTCCCCACCAGAAGCAGGCACAAGCCAGGTTCCGAGGACTGCAAAGCACAGGGAGGCTTCCTGGGTTACTAGCATTTTCTCTCTCCCTAGAATTCCTTCCTTGGGGCCCTAGAATGAAATGCTGGTTGGGCATGAAAAGGTAGGTTTCGCAGCATGTATAACGGAGAAGATTAAAATCCACTAGTGGAATGACTATGACAAGAATCACAAACTTTGGAGGCAGGGTTCACGCCATCGTTGTACTACAAAGTACACCTGATGTCCACTGGCAGGAATCTAGAGATCCCCAAGAAGATCTGAATCGAGACACAGGTGAGGGCAGACTGGTTTTGGTTAAGCAGAGGGAAAAAACTGAATCACGAGGCTTTGTCAAGAGGAAATATGGTGTAAGCTCTGGTTATGGACTACGGGATGTGTGAGGAGGATACAGTAAATCCAGCCTGTGTCCAGGGGGGCTGCATGTGGCTCAGGATAGCTATGAATGTGGCCTACTGTATTTGCAGATGACAACATCAAGTTGCCAAATGGAAGGTTGGACAACCTGCACATGGGTCAACATTAACTCAAAAAGACCCTAAAATGGTGCTGTATAATGAGCCCAACATGGCTCGCACATTTAGCTCACAGCTTAGGAGGTTCCAGGTCAGACTGTCATCGTCTTAGAATTCAGCCGAGTCAGAACACAACGGAGATGCCTGTGTCCATGTGGGTCTAAGACGCTTACAACATCAAACAAGAATAGGATAGGAAGAGGCTGGCATCCCACAATCCTTTGTGAGGACGCACCCTCAATAGAGTACCACTCAAAGGCACCACCACCTCCCAACAGCATCCTCCTGGGGACCAAGGCTTTAGTCATGGTCCGTGGAAGGATGCTCAGACTCAGATGATAGCAAGTGGTTTCAGAAGAACATTTCCTATGTCATTGGGGGCTAGGATGAAGCTGGAGGACAGAGAGTGAAAATAAATGGTCAACATGGGGATGGTGCGGGCTACTCAGTGTCTCAGCTTTTGCAGGTACCCAAGACTGTACCCAACTTTATGTTAAATAAATATGCACACATATATTTAAAGAGAGGGTAAAGTATCAACTTCATTCAAACAAGACAACACCTACTGCCTTCTGTGCCCTGGGGAAATAAAGGTCAAACAGCACATTTCACATATCAACAACAACAACAGCAACAAAGCGAAAATTCCTTTACACGTTGTCTTGAAAATTTGCATGCAGACATGCTATTTCAAAACTCCTATCAGCATTAGATGGCCTTGGATAACTACCTAGTCAACAAGACCCTCTCAATCCTCCTTCTGTATTAAGGATCATCACCATTTATCAGGTATTAAGTCTGAGTTCCAATTCGTGCTAATGGATTTGTTTAAGCAGAGCTCCAAATACTTGATAAAACATAAGCATGTTGCTGGGTGTTGTGGCACACTCTTTTAACCCCCCCCCCCAGCACTTGGGAGGCAGAGGTAGTGCATCTATCTGAGTTTGAGGTCAGCCTGGTTTATAAAGCAAGTTCCAGGACAGCTGGGACTGAAACCCTGTATCGAAAAAAACCAGTGTGTGTGTGTGCAGACTCAACTGGGACGTCCAACTCACAAGCAAAACACCAACTGCAATTCTTCCCAGACATCCCCCACACTTGGCATTTCTCTTCATGATTCTGAGCTTGCTGCTTTTATCTGGCCAGCCTTCCTGGTCTCTCTTATCCTATCTAGAAAACCCATTCATTCCTTTGGGTACATCTCTGATGCCTACCTACATCTCCCTACTTCCTCGTCCTCAGCCACGCAAGGCTGCTTTCCTGGCTTTCCGGTTGGCCCTTGCTAGCTTTGCTTCCCTCATGGGCAGCTCTGCTTTGGTTGTTCTGCCTCATATTTTCCAAAACTTGTTCTCACTTAAACATATACATTCTTCTTTGTAGCATATGAATACGTGTTCACGTCAACATTTGTGTTTTGGGAAGTTACATAGAAATTCAGTAACCAGATACCCAACGTATGCCAAATCATTATATAATCACTTATATAATACTTTTGCACTTAAACAAAAACAACCTGTCTAACTCCTCTTTAATGCTTGCTTGTACCTGATTCTAATTTTCTGTGTGTTTGTAAACTTATTTTCACAGAAAGAAAGTACATCTTGTTTTGTGATTTCTTTTTTCTGTTAATGGGTCAGGAATAATGGCCTTTTCTGGAACATTTAACCTTTCAATGGTTTTATGGTATTAAGTCACAGGTCTGTTGTTTTTGTATTTTGAGAATTTTGCTTTTGTTCATTAAAGATTTAACTTAATATGTGTGGTGTGTGTGAATGTGTGTGCAGGTGCCTGGGAATGGAACTCCAGCTTCTACAAAAGTAGTATGTGTTTTTAATCACTGAGCCATCTCCCATGTAGCCCAGGCTGGTCTTGAACTGGCTACGTAGCTGAGGATGACCTTAGATTCCTGATTAGATTATCCCCACACATCTCCAAAGTACTGGCATTGCACGGGCACACAACAACTGACCAAAATGGGCACTTCTGTTGGTTATTTTAACTGAATATTCAGATAGCTTGGCTGTGTTCTTTTTCTGGTGAGTATTATTACTAAAATAATTTTGTTGCTGGGAATCGAACTCATGGCCTTGAGCATTCCGGGCAAGTGCACCTCTAGTAATGCTTATTATGAATATGACTTTAGCAATGCAGTGGTGGCCGGTCTTGTGACTTGTGTCCACTCATCTCAGTGTTTTTTTTTTTAAAATAAATTCTTAGAATTGAGAGATCTCCAGGGCTCAGGAGATGGCTCAGTAGGTTAGGGTGCTTTCCACACAAATGGGAGGGCTGGACTTTGGGTCTGGGAACCCACGTGTAGTTGGAATTTGGCAGTGCACACCTGTC